TAGCCTGCATGTTCGTTTGGATGCCATGTCTAGACGGCAGGCCAGGTCCGAGAACCGGGTGATGGCTTGGTTTCGTGCTTTAGGGAGGGCCTGTCACGTGGATCCCAGCACCGTCTCTGACTCCGAATGATGACAGGGAAGTTCTCTTACCCTTCTATGCTTTCATTGTTTTATGACATGAGGACATGCCATACTCTTTGTGTGTGGGGTGGGAGACTTGGGTATCTGTATATATGATTTGTGTATATATGTGTTGTTGTATATGTAGCTTAGATGTCACCGACTTGGCCCAACGACGGACACTTGTCGACGGGTTTCTTGAGGGTTAAGGTCGGAAAAAAAAACATAGAAAAGTTAGGAGACTCTTCCTGATGACGGACCACCTAAACAGTATTCTTGAGGGAAGGAGTATAATAAAAAAAAACCAAAAAGATTAATGTTTTATTTTCTTTTTAGGTAGTGCAGTAATTTTTCCTTGGTTTTTCTTTTGACCACGGTTCTTTTCCAAGGGTTTTGATTGAACCGGGTTAGGTAGATTTTTCTTTAATAGATTTTAGGACCCTTAGGACTCTTTTGGGCTAAGAAGGGTTGGGCAAGAATGCATCCCGTGGTGTACATACCTGCAAATACTTAAAACAAACTTGAGGGTGCGACGTCTGGGCTCATGTGTAGACTCTTAATCTTATGCCTTAATTTTGCACACCCGGTCTTGCTTGAACACTCATATGAATGTGTTGACAAACTAATTTGGATTGAGTTATATGCCAAGTGTGTGTGAGGTTATACACGTATTCTATGCTTGCATGCGATACCTAGAACTTGCCCCGTGTGCTTGCAAAGGGAAATAGTAGTTGTTTGGTCTTAGAGATGATTTAGGCATTTCTTTGTGTAGCCCATATAATCATTAATCCACCTGTACATATTACCATAGTTAACCCCTTTGAGCTTGTAATCCTTTTTCTTTGGCAACCACATTACAAGCCTTACCCATTTGTTTGAATTAACCATCTATTTGAACCTTTTCACCTCTCATGAGCACTTGAAATGTTATGAACCTTGTAAAAGTTAAAGTGTAGGGTGGTCGATTTGGCTTTTGAGTGGAACTAATTGAATAAGGAGAAATGTGCACTGTTTTGAAAAAGGAAGAGCCACTTGAATTGAAAAAAAAATATAGTGGGATTGTTGTGGGAAAAAAATCCTTGATAAGTGGTGGCTCTTGACGTAAGTGTGCTTAAAGAAGAATGGGGTAATTTACATTGATGTGAAGGTGGAATTTTGGTTTGACATAAGTATGGGGTTTAAATGTTAAAATGTATGTATTAAAGTGCTTAGGGAGGTGTAGTCACTCTTATATCTAATTATATCCTACCCATCCCGTAGCCTACATTACAACCAAATGAAGACCTATTGATCTTAGATTGAGCAACTCAATTAGTAGAGTATTACACTAAGGGCAAGCTTATGGTGTATCTGTGTGGCATATGAATGTTCTTTGCTGAGAGTGAGTGAATTCTTTCTATTTACAGTTCCTTGTTGCTTGATTTCATGTGTGTGGAACTTCTCTCAAAATTGTGATGTGAGGGCATTTAACTCAAGAAGAAAAAGCAAGTCTTCACTTCTGTTAGAGTACATAGAGTAAGCATGGGTGTGGCATGGCACTAGAGTCTTCATCTGAGGTGTGGCTGTTGCACTGCTTAGGTTGTTCTTTCATAATAGCAGGTGTGACATAAAAAGGGTAATGCATCAAAACGATTAGGCCTAAAAGTGTGGTTTAACTTGCTCGAGGACGAGCAAAGATTTAAGTGTGGGGTGTTGGTAATAGGTGAATTAGACTATAATTAGACCCTAAAGAACCACATTTTTGTATAGCTTTGTTGTAAAAAGTGATAACCAAATGCTCTGATTAGTGCTTTTTAATGCTTTGCGGGTTATATCCAACGAAAGAAGTCGATGGAGCAAGTTTGGGATCAATTACGGAGAAAAGGAGGTCAATCGAACAATGCCCAAGAAATGCACCAAGTGAAAAGTCAAAGAAGTGCAGAAATTGGCCTGCCGCGGTCAGACCGTAACCGCGGCAGGACCGCGGCAGAGTAGAGTCACAGATTCAGAGAGCCCATTTGGCCGCGGTCCTGGCGTAACCGCGGTGGGACCGCGGCAGAACGCGAAATAGCCAGGGATAAAAGTGTCAAGTCGGGAAAACTTGGTGTAAAACCCTTATAAAAAGTAGGATTTCGGCCACATTAGGTCAGATTTGATTTTGGAGAGTACTTTGGCAAGAAACACAAGTGTGAGAGATCACCCAAAACATTATTATTCTTATTCTCTTTTATTTTTCTTGCAATCTTTGATTATGAATCTTCTAGTAGTTTATTCCTCCATTGTTATGAGTAGCTAAATACCTTAATTTAAGGTTTTGGTGGAACCCGTTGGGGATGACTTGGTTGTTTTATTAATATAGTTGGATTTGATTGTTAATCTCTATTTGTTCATCTATGTTTTGATTGTGGTTAGTTGAAAGGGCCCTCAATTATCCGTTCCTATTTAGTATGTATCTACTTGAGAAAGAGTGCATATTTAGGTGATTGTATGAACAACATCACTCCCGGAGTATAGACGAGAGTCATAACCGAGGGTTTAGAGGTTGGATTAGAGATAACGATACCTCGGGTGCAATCTAAGTGAACCATATTGTGAATCTAGCTAGCGTAGCTTGAGAGAGTGCGTCTAGTAAATTATCATAATTGCTTGAGAAAGATTTATGATAGCTGGAGCTTTCATGTTTGATTGAGACAACTAAATCATAGTTATAAGACATATACAACCAAGGAAATTACCAACGGGGGAAACCATTGCCTTAGACCTTATTCCAATTGTTTACACCTCAAGTTTAGTTAATTTTCAGTTGTTAATTACTTTCAGTCTGTAGTTGTTAAAAAAATCAACCATTGTGAATCAAAAAGTTTGGGGGAAACAGATTGTGTGAATTTAGTAAATCGGACAATAGTAATTGATAGGTTAATTCTCTGTGGTTCGACTCTGGGCATAAATACTCAGATTATATTTGCAACGCCCGCATAGTCTTTTGCGAGACTCAGTTGAGCGTGATCACTGCTCTTATGTTATATACAAATTGAACTCTATGCTTGTGCTTTAAACTTTTTGTGTTTCTAGGGTGGCCATATCATGTTTGAGTACTAGAAACATTACTTGCTTTTCAGGATGCCATAGCTCAATTCGTAACACATTTGAATGATGGGTATGTCAGTCCTTAGTAAGATTAGGAAAAGTAAGAGTTTGTTGAACCACGATCATTTACAGTAACAACAAAAGGTTGACAATTGAGGTTACTCTAGTATAGCTAATCCCTACTAGATTAGGATTAAGGCATAGTTATTGTTGTTGAAAGTGGCTCTCATATCACCTTCAAAAGATTGGCTGAGAAGATAATACTCCTAACTTTTTGTGTATCGATGTTTTTTTTTTTGATTTGCACCGGGTGTCCGAGTCTCTTCGAGCCCCGACTAATCCCGGGGGTGCACCGGCCCTCGGCAAGAAGTTTTCCGCAAGTGCACCACGGTTAGTTCAGGTTTTACCCAGTCCGATGGCCCTCAGAAATTGTTTTCTTGAAAGGGAGCAAACCCCAAGGCTCAAGTCAATTGCCACCAGGCCAACCCCTGAGGGTTTGTATCGATGTTCTTATCACCCTCTTTTCTAAAAGTAGGATCCTAATATTTCTGTGCGTCGATATCCTTGCCACCCTCTTTTCTAAAAGTAGGCTCCTAATATTTTTGTGCATCGATATCCTTGCAACCCTCTTTATAAAGAGTAACTAAATTTGAGGGGTTCATTTATAAACTCAACTCACACTAGCTGGACAAAGAAAAACAATGAGGTAAGTGTAACTTTTGAACTAAGTAAAGGAACAATTGAGTGAAAGAACTGGAGGAAGCAATAATTATAATTAGCTCTTGTTTTTCCCATATCCTTATACACATCCGTCATTTCTGCTTTCCTAAGTTTGTACAGGTCCACATTGAGTCCTCTGCTTTACAATTCCATAAGAACTATTTCATTGCTCCTCCATTTTGCAGGAACTCACTCATCTCTGTATCATATATGAATGTAAAAGATATGCAGATGCATACATGAATGTTGTTAACAAGAGAATTTCATAGGTTGAAGTCCGGACTGTCATCTTGGAAAAGTTTAGGCTTTGATGAATATGCAGAGCAAAAATCAAATTCCCTACACAAGAAGTGTTTCAGAGATGAAGATTGTGCTCCTCTTCTGTAGGAAGATTTACCTTGCGTTTGGGAAACTTATCTCTTCAATGATACTTTGAGCTGGGGCCTTTTTGAGTAAGTCCTTCTCCTAGACGAGCTAAAGTAGTAAGCCAGGAACCAAATTACTGGTGCTTCGGAGAAATCAAATTTCGGGTGCTGATTTTCTTGATACTTCTAACTTTTTAGGTTACTCAAGCATGAATTGTAAAACTTATTCTAGATGTTCTCGGTTTGTATGTGGGTGTTTGACTTCATCTTTACTGATCATTGTCGTTTTCTATGCACTTTTCAACTTCAAGTTCATCAAGTTCAAGCCCAGGAATATGATTTCTTCTCCTCCTCCTCCTCCTTTTTTTTTTTTTTTTGAAAAGGTAACAGATTCCAATATATCTTCTTCTTTTTCTTTCACTGTTTCAGTCTCAAAATAACTGCGAAATGCTGGTAAATTTTTTCTTCTTCTTCTTTCACTGTTTCAGCCTTAAATTGCAGTGAAATGCTGTGCCATTTTTTCGTTTCAGTTACTGGCATTTTTTTTCATATACTTACTGCAATTTTTTCATTTCATTTATTCTTAATTCTTAGTGCCACTTTTATGTGTTATTCAGTTGTTCTTTTAATGGCACCAAAAGAAGATAAGAAAGAACCGGCTTGGGCTTATTCTGTAAGAGTTAGCGAGATATAATAATGATAGTGTAATGCAAGAATTTGACAATCTTGTAGAAGAATAGGATGCTCATTTTGTGCTTTAATTGATGTTACTCTTTAGTTTTTACATTGAAGCATTGAATATTTGCTTACAGTTACATGTGTTGTCTATGCAGTATTTATTTTAATACTATTTTTTTAAAATTCCGCTTCACTTCAAAAAAGTGAGCGCTTCGCTTCTCGCATTAAGCGAAAAGGGGCTTGTCACTTTTCCGCGCTTCACACACTCTTCACAACATTGAGTCCGCGTACCAAACGACCTCTCAAGTTACACTATGAGTAGGAGAACTGTAAAGCTTTAAATTTTACGCATGGTAGAGATGAATATCTATTCTCAAAACACCTATAATTTCTTTCTCTCCAAATTGTCCAAAATATTTACTAATCACTTCCTAAAATCCTAGAAAATTACCTCAGGCCAAGGACTTATTGGGCTGCATATAATTTATTTAGTATCATTCTCTCCCCCCCCTCCCCCCTTCCTCAATACCCTCCCACCCCTCCATCCTCTACAGCCTGCTACTCCTCATGTCAACCTCCATTTCTGATATCTTTTTTTTCCTGATAGAGGTTTTGATACTCTAATTTCTTGACTGTTAATACTTAAATAAAAACCTATAGTAGAAAGCAATTGAACTGTGTACCCTCCATTGACCAAGACAACTCCATAGTGCAGCAAATTCCTTTGGTCCTGTTCAGCAGTACATGGCAAAGCTCAATTAAATAAGATATAGCGAAAACAATATTTGGAGCAACAAAAGTAGACAGCAATGTCATATAGCTAACACCCACAATTTTATTTAGAAGCAAAGCAAAATACAAGCCATATATTCTACTCATTAGTTCTTATCAGAACAATAAAATCACCATTGTCAATTTGAACTACATTGATAGAAAGGAAAAGTTATATACAAAGTGATTAGACTAATAGCAAAAAGCGAAGACCCAAATTCGAAAAAAAATGAGTAAAAATTGAACTAACTCTTGCCAAGCCGTTTGGACAACTTTTTGAGAAACTTTTTGTATATTTTCAAAAAGAAATATGTTTGTGCAGCTGTAGTTTTTTAAAGATTTCTGACTGCTTAGTGGGTAGAAAAAGAGCTTTTCTCTGAAAGAAAGTCCTCCAACCATTTCTTCAGCTATTGATTGTGACACTATTTCCCTATGCATAGAAGCTTTTACAGCCGCACTAATGTTATGGCATATGTAACACCACACGTTCCAAAAGTCTTATAATCATACCACCCATATTATGACATGTTTAAGAACACAAGTTTTAAAAGTCCTCATTTTGTTTTAGTGCTGAATCAAATTACGCTGCACAAATTGGAAAGGAGGGGTAATCCAAATGCATATTTGGAGAAATTATGCAAAAAAACATAGCTAAATATATTTGGATAAAGAACCCCACAACAAAAAGCATGGCAAAAAGGTAAATAAAATTTAAAAAAAGATGACCAAATAAAAAACCAAGTAGAAAAAAAAACTTACCAATGCGTGGGAACTGGTCAGAGGCATTTTTGAAGAGAAAAATGAGCAAACGAATAGTCCTAAGACTAAATCTTTGGTAACCCGAAGAAAGAGCCTCTTGTAACTCCTTCTCTTCAACAAAGCCACTTTGATCCCTGTCCACCATCTGGAAGCTCTGAATAACTTGTGGGTCAGTCCCTGGTGGAAAAAAACAGCATAATTTGAAGTTGCAGTGGGCTGCGCCTGCTGGTAATGATTATATCCATAAGAAGAAGAAGTTGGAGGCCCATATCCATAACCACTACTCTGTGGATGTGGCTGTTGAGACAGAGGGTAATTTGGGTAATTTCCCGAAGAAGAAGAAGGAGGAGGATGATAGGGATGGGCTACTGGGGGCTCGTTTGGGTCGGAGAGAGGTGGTGCTGAAGGAGAATAAGTTGCTCTGTTGCCGTAGGATGACATTGTTGTGTTGATTGAGAAATGGATTTTTGACTGGTAACGTCAGAATAATGGTGGTTTAAATTGAAAACCAAGGGTTTTTATTGTTGTAGTTGTGGATTTGAAGATAAGCGTGTGCCGTGTGCGTATGTCGCTGTGTTGACAACTTGACATGGTCAGTCAACGTTTGGGTTTAATTAGGACACAAATTACATGCCTTAGCCAAGCCCACTTCCATTTCACTTTTGATTTCCAGCACTTTATATACCATAATAATAACCATATATCCGGTGTAATTTCACAAATCTATATCTATCTATATATATATTAAAGCAAGAAAGTTACCATATATAATTGACATTATGATTAAGCCAAGTGGCAAGCTAATAAATGTTAATAGTATATGGTAACTTTATTCTATTTTTGACTATTTTAGTTAAATACAAATATAATATAATATTATATTATATATATATATATATATATATATATATATATATATGTGTGTGTGTGTGTGTGTGTGTGTGTGTGTGTGTGTGTGGTGTGTGAAATTAAATTTTTGAATTTATAGATAAAGTCTAAAATTCAAATTTAAATTAAAAAAAAATTATCTTTTTTTATCATGTTATCATACTTAATTCGGTTAATGATAATATGCAATCATGTTAGGAACTTTGTTATTTTTTTTAATTATTTATAATAGTATCGCTCTAGCAAAACAAAACTGGCTCCATATAACTATAAAACTCTTTCACATTTAAAATCTTATAAGTATAGTTCTCCGAAACACTGTAGCTAGATTTGAATAAAGCGAAATTCTTTTAAAATAAATGTAATATATAGGGTACACGTCTATGTTTATCTAAATAACAAAATAGAGTTTACAAAACTAAATAAAAGTTTACTTACATATATAATAAAGTAAACATACATGTTGGAGAATGAAACATCACAAAATCAGTCAATATTAAAAAAAGTTATTTCTTTTTTCTTCTTGAAGAATATTTGTTTGAAGAATCAATTTGCATAAATGGACATAAAAAAAAAAAACTTTGGCTATACAATTGCTATCGTTAATTCCAATTTAGCACATTGAAGGGTATAAACTGAAACCCCTTCATTTAGCTGTAGTCAAGCCAATATTGCAAGGGTATAATATTTTTTTCGTTGAAGAATATTAGTTCTAAATCATTAGATTATGTGAAAGGTTTTTTTTCAAACTCAACAAAAGATAAATTGGTTTCTAATTGATAGTTTCTATAGCGACTTTTAAGTGTAACAAAGAGTATATATAAAGAAAAAATTGGTATGACGTGAAATTTTTTTCAAAAAAAATGCAAGCAAATTATTTTAAAAAAAGTCTTTACTTTTTGTTAATTCAAAGATAATAAAAAGATAAGATATTTCTAAACATTAGTAGAGAGTTTTAAAATTATTATAATAGAAGTTATATCATGGATAAACTCAAAAAATCGAAATCTTATGAAATATTTATATAATATCCGGCCATATTTATTGCTTACTTTTTATAGCTAATATAAATAGATGATATACCGACAACACACGATTATACACATATTATATATGGATTATATAAATTACATCATTCAATTTTTTTATTTAAGCGGTCGGGTGAGCACCTATTTCGACTGATTAGATAAAGCCAAAAGAAAAATATAAAATAATTTCAACCAAAGACTAAAAATATAATTAAAGTTCATATGTTGATAATTTTTATTAAAACTCATCCTTTTGTAGTGAAATAATTAATTTTTTATAACAAAAGAAATAATGACATAAAAAATAAGATAAAAGAAAATAAATATTGAAAAAAATGTTAGAAAGATCTAAAAACGAGAAATAAAAGATGACAGCAAATTTCTTCTTATGTTTCATCTTTGTTGAGAATAAAACATTTGAAAGTTAATCTCATCGATTTCAAATATTTTTGTTTCAACTCAAATACATAGACTATAAGATATGGATATCTTAGAATTTTTTTTTAATTTGCATTATGTATCATTTTTAAAAAAATCACTATTACTAGCAAACTAATATGATATTCGAATTTGAATTGGAATGCAATTTGAGTAGTTTGCATTAAGGTTAAGCCAAGTATGGTGTCGAAAAATAAACTATTTGACAATTTTAACACAATATATGCAATATTTTATAATAATAATCAACTAATTTAACATTTAATGATTCAAAGAACAAATTTTTTGTCTATATAGGGTATTAAAAATTCAAACTCTGGGGCTAGAGATATCGATAAACTAATTAATGTGGATTCATACTGAAATAAATCCGGCCAATGAATCATTTAAATTTTTAGATAGCCGATTAAAGTAAATTTTAAATTAAGGATAATATCTTCACTTGCATCATTATAAAGATAATCATTATTAAAATATATAAAGTTTTAGAAATTGAAATTTTAAAATAGAAATAGTTTTTGAAAGATAAAGTCATACCAATTTCAAGTCGTAGTATAAGAGTCACGTCATAATCAAAGAATCGTTTATATCGTGTCAACCTTTGTGCTTTGCCATAAATATGAGTTATTATTTCACTTTGTGGCTATTGTTAGGTTTCAATTACACCTATGAGAATAGTGCAAAAATAAAATTATCACTACGAGAATTGAGAAAATGTTAGTCTTTTTTCATGTAATATTTCTTAATTAATATCTGACGAATATCCATAATTATTTAGAAGGTTTAAATGTTAAGGTTATTTACATATAATTCAAATAACTCAAATATTTAATATGGTTAATGTCAAATATCAAAATGGAGTAAAAAAAATTCACTAGCTAAAGAATTTTTTATATTTTTAGATAGCCAACTAAAATGAGTTTTGAGTTAAGAATAATATTTTGAATTACATTATTATAAAAATAATATTTTAGAAACTGAAATTTAAGAAAGAAATATTTTTTAAGAGATATAAATACAATAAGAGTTCAAGTAGTAGTAAAAGAGTTAAGTCTTATCCAAAGAGTGATTCATTGTCTCGACATTTGATTGTTTTGCCATAAATATGAGTTATTATTTTACTTCCTGACTGTTTTTAGGATCCAATGACACCGGCAAGAATGGTATCAAAAAAAAATAGAAGAAATGGTTAATTTTTTTCATGTAGCTAATATCCAATGATTTCTATATTTACTGAGAAAGTGTAAATTTTAAAATTATTTACATATAATTCAAATTAATTTAATATTTGACATGATTAGTGTCCGCGCATTCGCGTGAGTACTAATACTAGTGAAATTTAAAAGAATGGTGTATGCGCAAATCTTACCAAAAGACAATATAGCCTTAAGGCTATGGGTTCAAGTGAACCTAAAACTTTGGACATGGAATATAAATTTATATATAAAATCTTCTAAAATCTCAACAAATATTAAATCTGAAACATAATTTTAATGGTATAATAAATTCAATGTTCAGAATCTTAAAAATTAAACCCATTAAATTTAAATCTTAGATCTGCCTCTAGATCTTACCCCTACCTTTACAATGTAGGGAGGTTGTTTCCGAGCGACCATCGGCTCAAGAAAAGCGTAATCACAATAGTATTGAGAAAAAATATAGTGGTGGAGAAGCCATGTTACAACATCAAGATAATAAGGTAGTCAAAACAAAAGAAACAATAGGTAGCAATAGAAATTTAAGAATAAGAAAATACGAGAATAATACTAATATTACTGGTATGGAAAAGAAATACACTCGATTATCTACTAACACTTTACCCTAATGTTCGACCTCCACACCCTCTTATCAAGGGTCTTGTCCGCCGTAAATTGATGATGTGTCATGTAATGCCTAATCACCTCTTCTCAATCCTTCTTCGGCCTACCTCTACCCCTCCTTAGACCTACCATTGTTGTGACGTCCCAAAGGGGTCATCACCTGCTTTAATTGAATTCCGTGTCTCCGAGGCCTTGAAAACCTCATTTAGAGTCGCCTCGATTTGCGAGCGCAGTCCGGACGCATAGCCGGAAAGCTTAAATGTGAAATTTTGTGAAAATTGCTAAGTTTTGATGTTAAAATGAATAAATTTGACTTCGGTCAACATTTTGGGTTAACGGACCCGGATCCGTAATTTGATGGTCCCGGAGGGTCCGTAGGAAAATATGGGACTTGGGCGTATTCCCGGAATCGAATTCCGAGGTCCCAAGCCCGAAAAATGAATTTTTAAGTGAAATTGTTTTCTGAAAATGTTCAAGGAAAATTGAAATGAAATCTGATTTGAAAGTAATGGTATCGGGCCCGTATTTTGGTTCCGGCGCCCGGTACATGTCTTATATGTGGTTTAAGTATCTCCTGTAAAATTTGGTTAAAAACGGACGTCGTTTGACGTGATCCGGACCCTAATTGGGAAATTTGATGTTTTGTCACACCTCCTTTTTTACACACCTACCCCGAAGGATAATGCATAAGGGAGTTTTTCCATTTAAAGTGACATTATTCGAAATGGGATTATTTATTGATTTTTAGAGTCGCCACTTGGGATAGGATTGGCTTTTGGTGTCCCAAGTCACCGATTTAATTTAAATCCCAAGTCGAGGAAAATTTCGACTTCCCAATTGGAGTCTGCGAACCAGAAATTCTGTATAAGGAATTCTGTTGACCCGAGGGAAGGTGTTAGGCACCCCCGGATCCCGTGGTTCTAGCACGGTCGCTTAAATTATCATAAATGGATAAAGAATCTGATTTTATACATATTCCATCCTATAGTGCAATTTTGAGTTTATTTACCGCTTTTAGTTATTTTTTACGAAAGTGAACGCCGTTTAAGAGCGTGTTTTCGGATCACGTCACATGAAATGCACCCGGATCCTCAACACCTCTTATTCAACGTTTTGGGATTTAGATTTGGGTCGCATGAAATGCACTCCCGAATTTAGGAAAATAAAATTGTTAAAAGCGTGCCTAAAGTGGCTCGCGTCTTGTTAACTTTGCGGGAAGCCATGAAAATTCGCTAAATGGCATGTCCCGAATTTCTAAAATATTTTAATAAAGTGTTTAATGAAGGCCCCGCAGTTTATGCATTTTGTTTGGCGAGGCTCATCTCATTTTATTATTTTAAG